CTTTGGCCCCCTGTATCTCCAACTACATATTGTTTGTAATCTCTGTCTACAATGTATCTGAACTAGTCCTTTTCTTTGTTTCTATGTGTTTGTCTGCAATAAATTATTATTATTTTTTTTTTATCGCGCGATAAAAAAAATGACGGCGTTAATATTGATTTGCGTTAACGCGTTAATAACGCGCTATTTTGGACAGCCCTAGAAAGAACCAAAAAAAAACAAAAACTTTCTTTTAATGAATCTGGTGAAAAACTAAACATTCTTTAGGGGAATATCTCCAAATCAAAGGCTCTGGGAGTTAAAGTAGTTTCAGAATTCTGGGAGTTGTAGTGTTAGAGCTGTACACAAATGTTACACACTCCAGCTTTAAAGTCACACACCTCAGCTTTAAGAGGACGAGCAGGAGATGGAGCCTCAACAAAACTACACAGAGCAGCTTTAAAGTCTGTGTCTGAGACTGTTGCTTCTGGGTCTAAATGTTCTGGAAAAGTTTGTATCCACAACGATGAGAATGAGACGTCCTGGATCGAGTCTGGACTTCATAAACCGGTTTCATCTGGTTGTGTGGCGAGATCTCTAGTTTAAAACCAGAGATTTGTCTTTGGTCAAAGGTTTGGGTTAAGGCACGTGAAACCAGTGGGATCCAGTCCAAACCAGATCTGATTCAAAGGGAACCAGTCCAAACCAGATCTGATTCAAAGGGAACCAGTCCAAACCAGATCTGATTCAAAGGGAACCAGTCCAAACCAGAACTAGTCCAAAAGGATTTGGTCCAAACCAGATCTGATTAAAGAGGATCCAGTCCAAACCAGATTTGGTCCAAAATAATCCAGTCCAAACTAGATCTGGTCCAAAAGAATCCGGTCCAAACCAGATCTGGTCCAAAAGAATCCAGTCCAAACCATATCTGGTCCAAAGGGATCCGGTCCAAACCAGATCTGGTCCAAAGCAATCCAGTCCAAACCAGAACTAGTCCAAAGAGATCCGGTCCAAACCAGATCTGGTCCACTTAAACGACGACCGTAAAGTCCAGACGTCCAAAAGTTCAACGTGGAAGTTTCTAGAAAATACAAATAAAGTCTTTGGTCCCGGTCCCGTACTCTCTGAAGTAGTAGTACTTTTAGCAGTACTAGTTGATCGTGGGGTTGAGGCTGGATTCTTTGACTGTAGCTGTAGCTGTAGTACTTGTAGTAGTAGTAGTAGTAGTAGTAGTACTGGTGGTAGTACTAGTTGACGGTGGGGACCTGGTTGAGGCTGTACTCTTTGGCCTTCAGTCGGAGGTTAGCGATACTCGACGCCATGTTCATGCCCTGAGACGACGGAGCGTTAGAACAAGATGGAGGATAGGACGCCATCGCACTGAGGGAGGAGAAGAGGAGTTAGAGACCGGAGAGAGACCAGAGGGAGACCAGAGGGAGACCAGAGGGAGACCAGAGGGAGACCAGAGGGAGACCAGAGGGAGACCAGAGGGAGACCAGAGGGAGACCGGAGGGAGACCAGAGGGAGACCAGAGGGAGACCAGAGGGAGACCAGAGGGAGACCAGAGGGAGACCGGAGGGAGACCAGAGGGAGACCAGAGGGAGACCAGAGGGAGACCAGAGGGAGAGAGAGACCAGAGGGAGACCGGAGGGAGACCAGAGGGAGACCAGAGGGAGACCGGAGAGAGACCAGAGGGAGACCGGAGGGAGACCAGAGGGAGACCAGAGGGAGACTGGAGGGAGACCAGAGGGAGACTGGAGGGAGACCAGAGGGAGACTGGAGGGAGACCGGAGAGAGACCAGAGGGAGACTGGAGGGAGACCGGAGAGAGACCAGAGGGAGACCAGAGGGAGACCAGAGGGAGACCAGAGGGAGACCAGAGGGAGACCAGAGGGAGACCGGAGGGAGACCAGAGGGAGACCAGAGGGAGACCAGAGGGAGACCAGAGGGAGACCAGAGGGAGACCGGAGAGAGACCAGAGGGAGACCGGAGAGAGACCAGAGTGAGACCGGAGGGAGACCAGAGGGAGACCAGAGGGAGACCGGAGAGAGACCAGAGGGAGACCGGAGGGAGAGACCGGAGAGAGACTGGAGGGAGACCGGAGGGAGACCAAAGGGAGACCGGAGGGAGACCAAAGGGAGACCGGAGGGAGAGACCGAAGAGAGACTGGAGGGAGACCAGAGGTTGACCGGAGGGAGACCAAAGGGAGACCGGAGGGAGAGACCGAAGAGAGACTGGAGGGAGACCAAAGGGAGACCGGAGGGAGACCAAAGGGAGACCGGAGGGAGAGACCGAAGAGAGACTGGAGGGAGACCAGAGAGAGAGACCAGAGGGAGACCGGAGGGAGAGACCGAAAAGAGACTGGAGGGAGACCAGAGAGAGCGACCAGAGGGAGACCGGAGGGAGAGACCAGAGAGAGAGAGACCAGAGAGAGACCGGAGGGAGGCCGGAGAGAGACCGGAGAGAGACTGGAGGGAGACTGGAGAGAGACCAGAGAGAGACCAGAGAGAGAGACCAGAGAGAGACCAGAGAGAGACCGGAGAGAGACCAGAGAGAGACCAGAGGGCGACCAGAGGGCGACCGGAGAGAGACCAGAGAGAGGCCGGAGAGAGACCGGAGAGAGACCAGAGAGAGACCAGAGAGAGAGACCAGAGAGAGACCAGAGAGAGACCGGAGAGAGGCCGGAGAGAGACCAGAGAGAGAGACCGGAGGGAGGCCGGAGAGAGACCGGAGAGAGACTGGAGGGAGACCGGAGGGAGACCGGAGAGAGACCAGAGAGAGGCCGGAGAGAGACCAGAGGGAGACCGGAGAGAGGCCGGAGAGAGACCGGAGAGAGGCCGGAGAGAGACCAGAGAGACCAGAGAGAGACCAAAGAGAGACCAAAGAGAGAGACCAGAGAGAGACCAGAGAGAGACCAGAGAGAGACCAAAGAGAGAGACCAGAGAGAGACCAGAGAGAGACCGGAATGAGAGAGAGACCAGAGAGAGAGACCAGAGAGAGAGACCAGAGGGAGACCAGAGAGAAGATCAAAGGAAGAGTTTTTTTAATCTTTATAATTTCAGAATAAAAAACACGTTAATTTGACATTAAATGGCGTCACACAAACTAACAATGAGTGAGAAAACAATTTGAATGTGGTTTCTTGACTCCAGGGAACGGTCCATCTCAGATCAGAGGCGCTAACATGCTACTGTTAGCTTCATGACCAGAGGGATTGAACCGAAGACCTGCCTGAACGTACTGTGTGGTTCCCCATGGTCTGCTTCATGGTGCGATGACGGGACCCCTGAACCCGGCCTCTCATCCTGCACCTGTGACCTCACCTCGGACTCAAAGCCTGCTCCGTGAACAGGTGGGAGGGGCTAACTCCTTTTGCAGATTGAAACCATGGATCTGAGTTTACTGTGACGTATGTAATGAGCCCGAGTGAGTCGTTAGCATTAGCCTAGCTTTAGCCATCTCCTTTGCCGCTAATGGAGCCCGTGGGGAGTAGAGCCACAATCTTTACCAAAGATTACATTTGCTAAACATTCCTCTTGCTCCGGCTTCAGTTTCTTGATAGAACCAGACCAGAATACTTTACTATCACATTCTTCACCAAACTACGACCTGCCTGTTCGACGCAAACTCTGACATCACCCACATCTAACTACAAGACCCGCCTCCCGCGCTCTCTGATTGGTCGAATTGAATTCAACTGATTGTAATCACAAACACAGGGACCAGACCCAGACGTTACAGGCAGGACATGATGATTGACAGGAGTGTACAGATGGACACGGCCAGCTGATTGGCTGAGAGCTGATTGGCTGAGAGCTGATTGGCTGAGAGCTGACTGGCTGAGAGCTGATTGGCTGAGAGCTGACTGGCTGAGAGCTGATTGGCTGAGAGCTGACTGGCTGAGAGCTGATTGGCTGAGAGCTGATTGGCTGAGAGCTGATTGGCTGAGAGCTGACTGGCTGAGAGCTGATTGGCTGAGAGCTGACTGGCTGAGAGCTGATTGGCTGAGAGCTGACTGGCTGAGAGCTGATTGGCTGAGAGCTGATTGGCTGAGAGCTGACTGGCTGAGAGCTGACTGGCTGAGAGCTGACTGGCTGAGAGCTGACTGGCTGAGAGCTGATTGGCTGAGAGCTGACTGGCTGAGAGCTGACTGGCTGAGAGCTGACTGGCTGAGAGCTGACTGGCTGAGAGCTGACTGGCTGAGAGCTGATTGGCTGCGTGCTGATTGGCTGAGAGCTGGGGTCCTCTCTGTCTCTCTTTTCTTATGTGACAGACACAGGTGGAGTGTAGTGTGGTTAAAAATGCATGTACCGCAGCTTTAATAGAAGTATCCAATCAGAAGGTAGAATGAGGCAGTCATTTGGGTTGCCAGTTTGTGTAGTGAAAGTCAGCGTTTAGGGTCTAGGCTCCTGCAGGTTTCCAACAGAAAACACTTGATTATAATATATTTCTGTGATTCTGACTGTAGTTCCTGCTCCAGCAGTGGCCCCTCCCCCAGAGCCTCCCCTCTGCACCCTCACTCTCCCCCTCACTCTCCCCCTCACTCTCCCCCTCACTCTCCCCCCTCAGACCCTCCTGATTAACCCAGGATTAACATTTCTCCGTCGGCTCCTCCTGCCTCCGTAGTAGCCTCCTCCTCCTCCTCCTCCTCCTCCTCCTCCTCCTCCTTGGTGACGGAGCGGTCGGACCGGTCTGTCTGCTGCAGCTTCCCCAGGTCTCAGGCGTCATGTGCCCGCAGAGGAGGAGGCTATGATCAGAGGGCACCATGGAGGGCTGCTGCCGCTCCTGCCTGCCCTGCTGCCGCTGCCTGTGGGACTGCATCTGGCCCCGGCTCCGGTACCCGCAGTCCCAGCACAACGGGACTGGAGCTGGGGCCACGGTGCTGGAAAACCCCGGGATCCGGACCGTGACCGGGGACCTGCGGCCGCCCCTTACCCCCGGAGCCCCCGGAGGACCCCCCGCGGTTCCCTCGCCTCAGAAGCGGCCCCCGCAGCTGTACCAGGCGCTGTTCGACTTCGAGGCTCGGAGCACGGACGAGCTGTCGGTGCGCGGCGGAGACAGGCTGTCGGTGCTGGAGCAGCGCGGAGATTACGTCCTGGCGAAGAAACTCACCGGCACCGGGAGCCTGCAGTCCGGACTCATCCCGGCCAACTATGTGGCTCTGCTGCAGGACGAGTTCTCCAAACACAAGTGAGTCTGACTTTATATATATATATATATATATGTATGTCTGTGTATATGTATGAGTGTGTATATGTGTGTATGTCTGTGTATATGTGTATATGTATGAGTGTGTATATGTGTGTATGTATGAGTGTATGAGTGTGTATATGTGTGTATGTATGAGTGTATGTCTGTGTATATGTGTATATGTATGAGTGTATGTCTGTGTATATGTGTATATGTATGAGTGTATGAGTGTGTATATGTGTGTATGTATGAGTGTATGAGTGTGTATATGTGTGTATGTATGAGTGTATGTCTGTGTATATGTGTGTATGTATGAGTGTATGAGTGTGTATATGTGTGTATGTATGAGTGTATGTCTGTGTATATGTGTGTATGTATGAGTGTATGTCTGTGTATATGTGTATATGTATGAGTGTATGTCTGTGTATATGTGTGTATGTATGAGTGTATGAGTGTGTATATGTGTGTATGTATGAGTGTATGAGTGTGTATATGTGTGTATGTAAAACTATGAAACATCAAAGTGGATCCTGAAGGAACAGGACATAGTAATATTCTTAGTTTTGATTCTCAGCCTCAGGAGGTTCTATGTCTGCTTTGTTCACTTCCAAAATTGTAGACATTACTATGAAAACATGCAGAGGTTTCCTCCAGGTGCTCCAGTTTCCCCTACCAGAGTTCATGGTCTGCCACAGACTGTAAACAGATGGACAATGCTAACATGCTAGCATCTCGCTCTGGCTCCAGTTCAATTCAATCCAATTCATGTGTATCGCCCTAAATCGGAGTCCTTTCTCCGAGGACTTTACAAAGTTGTGGATTCTCCGGCACAGATCAGAGAATCAGCTGAAACACAGAAATAAAGTCTGGATTCTCAAAGAACTCTAGAGCGTGTAGCAGGACTGTGGGTGGAGCTGGAGTTGGCTGGATGACACACTCCTGTGTTAGCTACAGAAGTCTCAGTTTGGACATTAGCTTCAAACGATGTTGAGTAAAATATTTCAAAAGTGAAAGTAAAACTAAAGCTGGAAAATCAGTGACTTGAAAACATTGTGTCTAAATATAATCTTTATCTGAGTCTGATGTCTGTATGTATACTGAGAGGTATGTATGTATACTGAGAGGTATGTATGTATACTGAGAGGTATGTATGTATACTGAGAGGTCTGTATGTATACTGAGAGGTATGTATGTATACTGAGAGGTATGTATGTATACTGAGACAGGTCTGTATGTATACTGAGAGGTCTGTATGTATACTGAGAGGTATGTATGTATACTGAGAGGTCTGTATGTATACTGAGAGGTCTGTATGTATACTGAGAGGTATGTATGTATACTGAGAGGTATGTATGTATACTGAGAGGTATGTATGTATACTGAGAGGTATGTATGTATACTGAGAGGTATGTATGTATACTGAGAGGTCTGTATGTATACTGAGAGGTATGTATGTATACTGAGAGGTCTGTATGTATACTGAGAGGTATGTATGTATACTGAGAGGTATGTATGTATACTGAGAGGTATGTATGTATACTGAGAGGTATGTATGTATACTGAGAGGTATGTATGTATACTGAGACAGAGGTCTGTATGTATAAACTTTATTGACACTGCAAAAACAGAAAGTACAAAAGTCCAAATGTGACTCTGTGTTGACTCTGTGATGACTCTGTGATGACTCTGTGTTGACTCTGTGATGACTCTGTGATGACTCTGTGTTTACTCTGTGATGACTTTGTGATGACTCTGTGTTTACTCTGTGTTGACTCTGTGTTGACTCTGTGTTGACTCTGATCACGACAGTTCTCCGACACAGCTGTAACAGTAGCAGACAGTGGTCCACAGGGATCAGTCCTGGACCCGGTCTTGTCTGTAGACCTGACTCTGCCTCATGGGCTCTGGGCCAGAGCGTTCAGACCGGTTTGGTCTGTAGCCGGGTGTGGTTCTGCTTCTTCTACGGTCTAAAAGCGTCTCATTTTAACTCTGACCCACTGCACTTTGTTCAGTTTGTTAAAGGGGAGGTTTAAACCATGTGCGGGACACTTCTGGTCCTGACGACTCCAGACTATCGTGATATTTCAATATTATTGTGATTCTTAACATATCATAGACAGAGACCTGAGACCAGGACTAATGTGAGAGGACTTCAGGACAGAGACCTGAGACCAGGACTAATGTGAGAGGACTTCAGGACAGAGACCTGAGACCAGGACTAATGTGAGAGGACTTCAGGACAGAGACCTGAGACCAGGACTAATGTAAGAGGACTTCAGGACTGAGACCTGAGACCAGGACTAATGTGAGAGGACTTCAGGACAGAGACCTGAGACCAGGACTAATGTGAGAGGACTTCAGGACAGAGACCTGAGACCAGGACTAATGTGAGAGGACTTCAGGGCAGAGACCTGAGACCAGGACTAATGTGAGAGGACTTCAGGACAGAGACCTGAGACCAGGACTAATGTGAGAGGACTTAAGGACAGAGACCTGAGACCAGGACTAATGTGAGAGGACTTCAGGACAGAGACCTGAGACCAGGACTAATGTGAGAGGACTTCAGGGCAGAGACCTGAGACCAGGACTGAGGTCATGTCCACACCTAGCTGGGTATTTTTAAAACCAAATATCCCCCCCCACCCCCCTTCTGTTTATAAAACTATTTGCATCCACACATAACGAACATCTGCGTTTTCAGTCACATTCATAACATTCAAACATGTGCGACTCTGACGTCCTGCGATGGGGAAAAACACAGAAGTGGGCGGAGCTTTGCAGACGCCGGTGCTTCTGTAGCGGTACTTTAACAGTCACAGAAGAAACTCAGGGTGAAGACAGATGTTTACAAGCACTGACCCCCGTCCTCAGTCCTGGTTTAGTCCCAATTTAGCCCTGGTTTAGTCCTGGTTTCGTCCTGCTTTAGCTCCTGGTTTAGTCCTGCTTTAGTCCTGGTTTAGCCCTGGTTTAGTCCTGGTTTAGCCCTGGTTTAGCCCTGGTTTAGTCCTGGTTTAGTCCTGGTTTAGCCCTGGTTTAGTCTTGGTTTAGTCCTGGTTTAGTCCTGGTTTAGTCCTGGTTTATCCCTGGTTTAGCCCTGGTTTAGTCCTGGTTTAGCCCTGGTTTAGTCCTGGTTTAGTCCTGGTTTAGTCCTGGTTTAGTCCTGGTTTAGTCCTGGTTTAGCCCAGGTTTAGTCCTGGTTTAGCCCTGCTTTAGCCCTGGTTTAGTCCTGGTTTAGCCCTGGTTTAGTCCTGGTTTAGCCCTGGTTTAGCCCTGGTTTAGCCCTGGTTTAGTCCTGCTTTTGCCCTGCTTTAGCCCTGGTTTAGTCCTGGTTTAGTCCTGGTTTAGTCCTGGTTTAGTCCTGGTTTAGCCCTGGTTTTGTCCTGGTTTAGTCCTGGTTTGGTTGTTTCCGAGCGTGAGTCCCTGTGTTCACTTTGCTGCTCTCTGCTGTGAGCGGTTTGCAGCAGAGAAAAGTTTTTAAGGCAGTGAGATCCTTCTTCAGTGATCAGCACGTGTTGTTTGTTGTTTTTGAGCAGACTGTGATGTGCGAAAACACAAAACTCTTGTTATTTCTGTCAACACGCAAATGCATAAACTGAGTTCTCAAAAATCTCCACTTTGCCCGGAGTTTTTTTAATATATTAATTTATGATCAGTTGCGACAGTAGCTCAGTTGGTAGAGCATTGGCCTTTGGGCCTGAAGGTCGTGGGTTCGAGCCCACCGTAAGACCTACTTCACGACTCCCACTGATGACTGCTGTCGTTGTGTCCTTGGGCAAGACACTTAACCCTACTTTGTCTGAAGCTCCCACTGAAAGATCTCAGCTCCTGTGGACTCACCACCTGCAGGAGGTTCAGTGAGGGGCTGGTGCTATGTGTCCTGGGTGCAGCTCTGACTGCCACCCCCCCGACCCAGAAATGGATTAAGGGGAAGAAAATGGATGGATGGATGGATGGATGGAATTTATGATGCGTTGTTATGGTGATGACAGGTGCAAACGAAGACAAATATCTGCGGTTTAGCAGAAACCGGCTACGTGTGGACGGGGCTGATACAACATGTATGACATTTATCAACATGTATGACATTTATCAACATGTGTGACATTTATCACATGTGTGACATTTATCAACATGTATGACATTTATCACATGTATGACATTTATCACATGTATGACATTTATCACATGTATGACATTTATCACATGTGTGACATTTATCACATGTATGACATTAATCAACATGTGTGACATTTATCACATGTGTGACATTTATCAACATGTGTGACATTTATCACATGTATGACATTTATCACATGTATGACATTTATCACATGTGTGACATTTATCACATGTGTGACATTTATCAACATGTGTGACATTTATCACATGTGTGACATTTATCACATGTATGACATTTATCACATGTGTGACATTTATCACATGTGTGACATTTATCACATGTGTGACATTTATCAACATGTGTGACATTTATCACATGTATGACATTTATCACATGTATGACATTTATCACATGTATGACATTTATCACATGTGTGACATTTATCACATGTGTGACATTTATCAACATGTGTGATATTTATCAACATGTGTGACATTTATCACATGTGTGACATTTATCACATGTGTGACATTTATCAACATGTGTGACATTTATCACATGTGTGATATTTATCACACGTATGACATTTATCAACATGTATGACATTTATCACATGTGTGACATTTATCACATGTATGACATTTATCAACATGTGTGACATTTATCACATGTGTGACATTTATCAACATGTATGACATTTATCACATGTATGACATTTATCACATGTGTGACATTTATCACATGTATGACATTTATCACATGTGTGACATTTATCACATGTGTGACATTTATCACATGTGTGACATTTATCACATGTGTGACATTTATCACATGTATGACATTTATCACATGTATGACATTTATCAACATGTGTGACATT